ACTGGCTGAGCGTGGTGCGGGCGCAACACTGAGGGTTGCGATCCCGTTACCGGTCAGTAAAAAAGACAAAAAGAAAAAACAAATACTAGCTAACAGAATACAGCAACATATATGCAAAATTATACACCATGAACAAGTGGGATTCATCCCTGGGATGCAAGGTTGTTTCAACATATGCAAATCAATAAATGTGATACATCATATCAATAAAATCAAACACAAGGACCACATGATCATCTGTATAGATGCTGAAAAAGCATTTGATAAAATTCAACACTCATTCATGATAAAGACTCTCTACATGTTAGCTATAGATGGAAAGTATCTCAACACAATTAAAGCCATATATGTTAAACCCACTGCCAATATTATCCTGAATGGGGTCAAGCTGAAAGCTTTTCCCTTAAGAACAGGAACTAGACAAGGATGCCCACTCTCACCACTCCTATTCAACATAGTGTTGGAAGTACTAGCCAGACAAATCAGAGAAGAGAAGGAAATAAAGGGCATCCAGATTGGAAAAGAAGAAGTCAAACTGTCACTGTTTGCAGATGACATGATCCTATATATCAAACAGCCTAAAGCCTCAAGAAAAAAACTCTTGGAGTTGATAAATGATTTTAGCAAAGTTGCAGGATACAAAACCAACACACAAAAAATCAGTAGCATTTCTATTCTCCAATAGTGAACATGCAGAAAGAGAAATCAAGAAAGCTTGCCCATTTACAATAGCCACCAAAAAAATAAAATACTTAGGAATACAGTTAACCAAGGATGTGAAAAATCTCTATAATGAGAACTACAAACCACTGCTGAGAGAAATTAAAGAGGACACAAGAAGATGGAAAGATATCCCATGCTCTTGGATTAGAAGAGTCAACATTGTGAAAATGTCCATACTACCCAAAGTGACATACCAATTCAATGCAATCTCCATCAAAAGTCCAATGGCATTTTTCTCAGAAATGGAAAAAACTATCCTAACATTTATATGTAATAACAAAAGACCACAAATAGCCAAAGCAATTCTGAGCAAAAAAAATAAAGCTGGAGGCATAGCACTACCTGACTTTAAACTATATTATAAAGCTATAATCACTAAAACAGCATGGTACTGGCATAAAAACAGACACACTGATCAATGGAATAGAATAGACAAGCCAGAAATCAACCCACACACCTACTGCCATCTGATCTTTCACAAAGGCACCAAGCCTATACACTGAGGAAGAGACTGCCACTTCAGCAAATGGTGCTGGGATAACTGGATATCCATATGCAGGAGAATGAAACTAGTCCCATACCTTTCATTGTGTACTAAAATCAACTCAAAATGGATTCAGGAATTAAACATACATCCTGAAACAATAAAACTTCTTAAAAAAACATAGGAGAAACACTTCAGGAAGTAGGACTGGGGACAGACTTCATGAATATGACCCCAAAAGCATGGGCAACCAAGGGAAAAGCAAACAAATGGTATTATATCAAACTAAAAAGCTTCTGCACAGCAAAAGTAACAATTAACAGAGTTAAAAGACAACCAACAGAGTGGGAGAAAATATTTGCAAAATATACATCTGACAAAGGATTAATATCCAGAATATATAAGGAACTGAAAGAACTTTACAAAAAACAAGTAACCCAATTAAAAAATGGGCAAAAGAGCTAAATAGGCATTTCTCAAAGGAAGATATACGAATGGCCAACAGACATATGAAAAAATGTTCAACATAACTAAGCATTCGGGAAATGCAAATCAAAACCACACTGAGATACTATCTCACTCCAGTTAGGGTGGCTAATATCCAAAAGAATGTGAATGATAAATGCTGGCGAGGTTGTGGAGAAAAAGGAACTCTCATACATTGTTGGTGGGACCTCAAAATGGTGCAACCTCTATGGAAAATGTGAAATACTGCCATTTGCAACGACATGGATGGACCTAGAGAGAATTATATTAAGTGAAATGAGTCAGGCACAGAAAGAGAAATATCACATGTTCGCACTTATTTGTGGGAGCTAAAAATAAATAAATAAATACACAAACTGGTGGGGAGGGAAGAAGACACAACAATTACAATTCCTTGAAGCTGATATGACAAACGAACAGATATTAGGTTGTTCAGAGGGAGGGGGAGAGAGAGGAGGGAGGGAGGTTTTGGTAATGGGCCACAAACTCAACCAAATTGTATATTGACAAAATAAAATAAAATTTAAAAAAAGAATTTTTTTTTACTGGTGAAAATAATAAGCACATACCTAATTTTTATCAACCTTCAAACAAAATGGTGGCAGCTAATTTTTTCCCTAAAGATATTTTTTCTTTTTTTGTTGTTAGAATATATAATACGAGGTGTAATACAGTGTCCCCTACCATTGACTTGTGAACCTCGAAATCAAAGAGGAAGACTAGCTGTGCTAAGGGTATATGGGCCAGGGCAGGGAAATTGGGCTGGGAGGCTAGTGATTCAGGAGACTGAGGTCTTAGAGAGCAGTGGACAGAGAAGCCAAGCATCTAAAGAGCCATAGAGCAGACCAGGGAACCAGGACCAGAAACTGTGGTTAAAATTGTTTTGAGTAGGGTAGATTCCTAGTTATAGCAGCGCCTTGGTACTAACCCAAAGTGGACTGAAGGTGTTTGACTATAGCTGTGACCCTCTTGCAGTTGAAGGCTACAGGCTTCTGAAGAGTGGTCTGGCTTTTTCTAAACAGGAAATTTAGTGGGATTAACATGTTCTGGGGCTTCATTGGAAGACCTGGGGAACCTAGTCGTCAGGTTCAGGGAAAGTAACCAGTTTGCTTGGTGGTGAGTTCTGGTTCTCTGCTCTGAAGCTCCAGATTCAGGATCTTCTAGAATTTTGTATGGAGAAAATATTTAATCCTTTGCATCTATTTTGTTTATAAAATCCCATAGATGCTACCCATGATGCTTCTGCAACTTGTTTGGGTGCATCTTATAATTCAGATTGTCCCCGCCAGTAATAATTGCTTGATAATTTACTGAATTATCCTCTATGACAGAGAATGGATAATAATAATGATGAGGACAATAAAAAAAATAATGGTATCTGAAGTCCTTTGTGATTTACAAAGTGATTGCTACAAACATTTTCTTACTTAGGGAAGTTAAAATATACCGACCCTGAGAAGGATAAAGAAGAAAATAGAAAGTAGGTGGAGTTACTGTTTAGTTGAATGCAGCACTTTCCATTTCATAGAAACGACCAATTTCATTTTTATTCTTCAACAATGTGCGGTAAGGAATTGCCATTTTTTGCATATTTACCATAAAACAGTTGACGGCTGGGAGATAATATTTATTTTTTAACGTCAACTGGAGTTAATGATTAAAGTCAGAATGTACTTCAATAGAAATATATTTTGGTAACTATGTTTGGTGATTAATTTATTTTTCTTATATGTGACTTCTACGTTCCCAGATTTGGATATCAGAAACACATGAACAGATGTCACAAGTTTGTTTAAACACAGAATTGGCTACAGTAAAGAGCAAGGCCTTACTAAATGAGGAAACAATGTGCTGTGGGATTATTGAAAGGTATTCTTAATACTTTCCTTTGCTTACAGAACATGCACATGGAGGAAAGGATTTGTGTAAGTAGCAAAGAGGTAAAGTGGCCCCAACTACACATTATAGGAACACATCAGGCCCTTTCTCTCAAGCTTCTATACTTTCTGCTCATGCTGTTCCCTTTGTTCGGAGTTTCCTTTCCTTTAATTGTTTTCTAATCAACAGTCTATTCTGAGTCGGGCTAAAATGTCATTTCTTCTTTAGACCTTTTTTCTGACCTACGGTTCTGACTACCTGGGTTTGAACCCCAGCTCTACAATTTAATTATGAAAGTTATTTCGTGTCTAATCATCAGTTTGTTTGCCTCTAAAATAGGAATTATAAAAGTATTTACTTCATCGGGTTGTTCTGAAGTTTAGGTGAAATAAACTATGAAATGTGCATAGAAATATTTCCTCACATACAGTAAGAATTAGTTAAGCTGTCACTAATCAGAATTAATTACTCTTGTATCCTTGCCCTCTCAGTATTTTATGTCCTACATAATGGTTGGACTTGCATCCTAGTTATTTATATGTATGTGTTTCCTAGACATAGAAAGTTCCTTGAGGGTAGGAATAGTTTCCTAGCCATATTTGTAGTCTTGCAACATGGCGCAGTGCTTCTCTATGAATAAAGTTCATGACATAGACTTTGTCTTATATTGTAATTATTGAGAAATGCAGTTAAAGTAATGACAATATGCTAAAACTTCCATTTACTTGTTGTGACATTTTATTTTGCAAAGTGCGTAAAAGTTGCAAACATAAAACTCTTTTAAAAATAATCATCATAAAAATTCAGTCCCAAATTAGTTTTGTATTGGTTTGAAAGTGTATATACATGGCAGTCTGACGTATTTTCTAAAAATTGTTGTCTTGTTTCCAGGGACACTGGATTGCCTGCCACAGGCTTTGGAGCTCTCTTTACCAGACATCCACCAGATCTGAGCAAAATGTTAGTAGTCCCCAAACTGCTGCAGATTGTACAAAATGTTTCTAGATTCAGGAGGTTTGTTTGCAGGGCTGAAGGTGTTGAGAGGTGTGCCGAGGTCAAATGAAATGCCCTTGAAGTGGCGTTTTAAGACTTTCCTTTAACAAAAGATTTTTTTCCATCAATATGCATAGCAATAATAATAATAATAAAGCAGTTGATCCTCATTATATGCAGAGTACATACTGGCAAATTCTCCTAGTTGCTAATATTTATTTGTAACCCCAAGTCAATACTCGCAGTGCTGTTGTGGTCATTAGTGGACATGCACAGAACAGCAAAGAATTTGAGTCATCTGACCTGCACACTCTCGGCTGAGGTCAAACAAGTTGATATTCTGCCTTCTTGTTTCAGCTTTCACACTATGAAGTGTCCTTTCCACAGTTACCTAGTGCTATGTTTTTCGAACGTTTATGCATCTTGTTGGTGATCTCACGATTTAAAATGTCCGCCAAGCATAGTTCTGAAGTGCTGTCATGTTCCTAAGTGCAAGAAGGCTGTGATGTGCCTTTCAGAGAAAAGACATGCGTTAGATAAGTTTCATTTAGACATGAGTTGACAATATATGTAAAACAAAAATACACATTAAACAAGGTTACGTATTGATCAATTGGTGAGAATGTTGTGGTCACAGGCTTGAAGAAACCTAGCCCTGTATTTACCCTAAGAGCGATGGTTCAATATTTGCTAATTCAGTGTTCACAGCAACTTTATAGTGCATTACTGTACGCAATGAGAATTGACTGTACAGTAAGAGACTACTATTTTACTGATAAAATAAATAAATTTATTTTGGTGGCAACATGAATTGTTACTACAAAAAAGAAATTTCTTTATGTACTCATTTTTCTAGAGACATTCATAATGTATAGATAAGTGATGTGGAAATATACTTACAAGCATGACAAAATTCTAAGTATTGGATTGTGCATTATGGGGTTTTTGTGAAAATTAAGGAAATTAATATATGTAAAACAATTAGAACCATGATGCATACATAGTAAATGCTCTACTGGACATTTGGTGAACCCTTTCAGTCTATAAACTCATATGAGTTAAAGGGAATTTTCTTGATTTATTTCATTTATCTCATTCTTGATTTATTGCATCTTCTCTGTTCTCTGTTTTGTAAATCCTTTATTTGGTTATTGGGTTGCTTGGCCTGGTCCTCTAATTTTTTTGGTCTTTTCTCTCCTATTTTCTTTTTGTTTTTATTATCTACTTTCCCTTGTTTCTTCAGCCTTACTCTTGAATTCTCTTTTTGTTTTCTGAATCCTTCTGTTTTTATAGGACTTTTTTTGATTTCATGACTGCAACACCTTCTCTTATCTCTCTGGAGATGTTAGTGATAGTTTGTTTTTTAAAATTATTCTTCCCCATGCATAGCTTTTTTTTATTCCAAGATGTTTTTGTTTCTGTTTATTTGTTTGTATGGTATCCATCTTCCATGCTAGAGGCATTTTCCTCAGATGTCTGATAATCAATACTTGGTTTTATGCTCATGATTAAGAGATGAGCTCTGAGCCTGTGAGCGAGGCTTGTTGACTTAGAGCTGCATTGGAGGAATCTAGGTGGGTTGTTTTTTCAACAAAGCCCAAGTGTCAGTGTTTTAGTCTTTACTCTTGGGCTGGTTGGATTCCCATGCGAGGGTCCCCAGTCTCCCATTTGAAGGGTGAAGGGCTGGTGCCTGTGTTCTTGGAGTGAGTAGTGCACTTGGGCCTGCACTGTTTGGAGGACAAATCAGCTGTCAGCGCTGTGCCCCAATGTTCCTCTGGCATGCCCATCTCCCCCACTGCCCATACTCCAAACGCTTCCCATGGGATGGGCCATGTGCCAGTCCCTTGCAATGACTCACTGGTCTCTGAGTGGCTCCTTTTTTCAGTTGTTGTGGCTCCTCACCCCTATGTGGATCCATAGGAACCCTGTTAGTTGTCTTGCTGGTCTGAGGACCACCAAGGTCCTATTCTTCCCTGCTGTCTCCAAGCAACTTCATAGGAAGGGCACATCTGTGGTTTTGCCAGCTCTTGCTCTGTGCACTCACCAGCTCCAGTCCTAAAGTGGCTGGGATTCGAAATGGTGGGAGCAATGCTTTCTTTCTCTCACCGTGGCTTCTCCTGCCTTCATGAACTCTGTAGGTCTCTCCTCCTCTTCCACTGAGCTCTAGCAGCCCCAGGTTGGCTGTCTTTTTAATAGTTGTAAATTGGTTGATTTGTAGGAGAGAGTGACACTGGGGACTGTCTATTCTGCCATCTTGACCAGAAGCTCTAAAGGCAAGTTTGATACAAAAAGTAAGACATATGTACCTCAAAAGTGAAGTATGGGCTGGCTCCAGGAGAGTGAGCAACAGCCCTGCCTTCTTCTTGGATTCAACTTTTATAGTTTTGGCTATCTATACATATTCATGATATCTAATGAATATTCAGCTAAGGGGGGTGGTTTCAAGTTGTGTAACCTAGTCTTGTACATGCTCAGTTGGTCTCTTTGGAGCATGCTCATTGGTCAGATTCAATCACTTGCACCAAATATATTCAAATATATTCTGGGTGATCTCTATCATATCCAGTGTTAGGTCATCTAAGGGATAAACTCCTTTTTACTGAGCATGCTCAGCCACTGAGATTATCTAAATTTGCCCCCTATGGTCTCAATCTCCATGTGCTGGTGCCAAAAATAGGTGCTACGGGCTTGAGTCCTCGGAGAGTATTTTGAGACCCAGGAGAGTGTCCTGAAACCTGATATGGGGGGGATCGAGCACTTACTGTCTCATGAAGTCATCAAGTCTCATCTGATATGCCACTTCTTCCAGAGGACATTCCCAGGCTACTGCTGCCCCCACTCACGATGGCTTGGTTGGGTCCCTCCTTGTGGGTGTCCATAGCACTGTGTACTTCTTTTATCCTATTCATCTTTGTTGTAATTACTTGCATTCTTGTCTTTATTGCTAAATTCAATGCTTTGAAAGGTGAGACTGTCACAGCTTTGTCCCCAGGGCCCAACAGAGAGGCTGACCTACAGCAGATGCACCATGGTTATATCCTGAATGAATAGATTATTTCTGATGTCAAACTCAAATTATAACAGAAGGGGGTTTGGCTAATTTCTATCTTATTTGATTTAGGGATTCAAGGTCTGTAAAAACAGAAGTTGTTCTCAATTCTATTTCAGTAAATACCTCAGGAGACATGGTCTTTTGGAAAATCAGCCCTTATTAGTTTGAATTGCTAGACTTGCTTGTTTGTTTTATTTGATTAATGAATATAGCAAGGAAATAAATACATGAGCACTTTCTACCATTCTCTGCTAATTTCACAGGTAATTTTTTTCTTTCAATGTACATTTTTTTCTTTTAATGTACACTAATTATAGGATGTTTCATACAATAGAATGCCGTGGTGTTTTAGAATCTGCTCTCCCGAATATTAAAATTTCTTTTGCTTCTTGCCAACTGTACAGCTGTGGAAGTTAAATGTCAACTTTAAAAGGCAATGAATAAGAATGAGTTTGTTCAATGGACCAAAATAATGTGCTTTAACTCATAAAAAAAAAAAAGGCTGTAATCATAATGTAAATTTAAACTTCAGGTTACCTCTTGTGGAAAAAAAATCAGAATAAAGGTACACCTTTGTTATTTAAGAGACATTAGTCCAATGCAGTTATCTTAATTTTTAGATAACATACATTATGTTGTGATGGCATTTGGCTGTCTCTTTTTCTCATAACTCAACCTATGGCCCATCTACCATATTCTGAACAAATGTGAAGAAGACACAACACATTTCCTTGACAAATTGGTAGCAGACATCTCAGTGACACATTTTGAAAATCAGAACAAGTAGAATCTTTTATGTTGCTAGATTTATCACTCCTGATCTTAACTAGAGAAAAGGGTTCTGTGAATAATTCCTTTCACATATGTCACAGATTGAGATAAATGAAGACAATTGTAATACAGGGAGCTGTTGGGTTGAGACTAAAAGTGATATCAAAGACTTAAACTTTAAAAATGAGATTTAGAGACTTTGTGGCTAGATTGAGCTCATCTATAACGAGAGCTGTTGTTTCCCTTGAGGAGAGCTGGTTGCATTCCTATGAAATTCATTCCTATGAATAAGATTCCAAGGAACTGACATTTGCCAATGATGACAGGGGTAAGATTCAAGGAGTCTCAAAGATCTGTTAGACATCAACAGTGCTCTTTCGGTCCCACAATGATACACTTGTATGTGTAGGGAATCTCTAACATACATTACTTTTACTGCATGGAGAGAGACAGTTAAGGCACAGAAAAGTAATGAAAGGCATATTTCCTTAAAGGCAGTAAGAAAAGCGTATGGGAACACTAATGTAGTTAGTAAGTTGTTTTAAGTGTCCCTGTTTGCCTTTCTACCTGATTCTCAAGCGTCCTTAAGTAACTTCCACTTAATTTGGAAGTCCTCTTTATGAGGCATGGAAAACTAACTCACTAATTATCAGATGGCCCCTGTGTATCTGATATCTAATACCAAATTATTTTATGATTTGTCCATAGAACCAGACGACTGTAGCTAATTCATTCTAAGAAGTAAGGTTTTCCATGTAAGAATATCTGGACTGTTTCTGTGATCATTAAACAAACAACCAGAAACCAAATCAACAGATCAAACAACAAAAACTGTATCTAGCATATCCAAATTTGAAAGGGAAATGTAGTAATAAATATGATTTTTTGTTAATGTCTTATTTCTCAGAAGCCCTCATTTACATACACACAAGAATTTGTGGTCCTGGGACATTGCTCCACAGAAATCAGTTTTTTGATAGGGAAAACCAGTTTTGGCACAGAGTATTTGCTGTGTGAGAAGCAGGTCCGTGGGAGCCTTGGTCAGTTGGAGGGCAGCCCAGGAGCACTGAACACCTGCTGGAGGACGGAGAAGTACCCCAGGTATACACAAAGTCAGCCCTAACGACTGCATCCTGTCATTTTT